CCCCTGCGACTGCGGGTTCGCTGGAATATGCCTTCCTGCCGGCGTCGAGCGAACCGGGTGTTAGGTCTTAAGACGGAGTCCGAGTCTGGCGAGTCGGAGAGTACCGCCTTCCCCTTATCCATCATATTGACTGTGGCAGATGAGAGTTCCAGGTTGTCAGCAGCACGTCTTTTCTGGTGACGGTGCCTTCGACGGGAGGGCCTTGGTCGAGAGGCCTGTTGAGAAAGCCTCTCAAACACCGAAGGTTTCGCCGTTCCAACGCATTGGCAATCAGCGAGGACCGTGTGGATGAGTCTCTCGCAGTGGCACTGAGGATTCGCCTCGTGGATAGTGCGTTTGCGAGTCAAGAATTCTCTGAGGTCTTCTACGGGTGGTTGGTGACAACCCCCAGCCTCAGAAGAGTCGCTCTGGTGAGTCGACGAGAGATCTTTGGGCGCTCTCTCTGGCGCGCGTTGGGTGGAACGCCTTGGTGTTGGAGTCGGGCGATCTCGCCTTGACTGGCGAGTCTTCGCGCTTGAGCGAACTCCAGTACGTTCGTTCAGCGTGCTGAAGTTCCTATAGTCCTCAAGCCGTCTGGATTCTCCTTTCTTTTACGTTTATCCGCCAAATGATTATGGCGAGGCTCGCCAGCCTTCGAGGATTCGCCTACTTGGGTAGGCTTGCTCGCTCGAGGAGATCTATTCGCATCAGGGATGTGACCTGAGAAGCGAAGTCCTCCTGAGCGGATGGCTCTGCCGTCCTCGGTTGGTGCTCCTGATTTGGAGGGCCTTCCGACGTCGGGCAGTTTACCTTCCCGTCTAGCGTTTTTCGGGCCTGTATGATGGTTCAGGCCATTATGAGAAATGGAGGTTTGGACCCCCTGTCTGACGGGTGTTTGCCGTCGCTGTTGGTTAGTTCTCCCAGCGGGGAGAACGTCACCGTGGGTTGAGACATTGCGGTTTGTGCCGGAGTGAACCGGCGCTTCCTCCGAGGTAGGTGTCTGTGTGGACCGCTTGGCGATCCATCTGGCAGACCCTTGCCTCTTGCGCTCGATCTCTGGCTTGGCCTTGATCGATCGCGAGGGAGTGGGCTCCTCCGATGAGACTCGGTTGGAACCCTCGGGTGCGGAGGCTTTGACCGTCTGAGGTCGGCCTCGGCGCACAGCTCTGTGGCATTTGCGGGACGCATCGCCACCAGAGGAGGAGGAGGACAAGTATTCTTCGTACTTGTGAGGCAACGAACGACTGCTATCCGAGTGGATTTGACCAGCATTAATGAACCGCATTTATGAGTTCGCAGAGTGATGAGGTGTCTGTCCGATCACTCGTACTGTGCGTGACCGCCCGGCGTGCTTTGAGCACGGTGCTTTCTCCTTTCCGGTCAGGAGAGGCGGTGAAGTAGGTGCACAGTACTCGAGTGGGTCTAGCCAACTTGCCGAGTGCCGGCGGATCCAGCTCTTGACTCAGACAGCCGAGGTGAGTCGCATTTATGAATGCTCAGGTTGACTCGACACCTGTCCAGACCTTCGTGCTGTGCGTACTGTGAGCGGCCGTTTTGACGGTCTTGGGGTACTGTGCTCTCTCCCTTCGGGTCGAGAGGGATGGGAAAGTCCAACTCAGCACGTGGGGTAGCGGATACCCAGCTGTACTGACGGTCTTGGGGTTTGCTGGCGGATTCGACTCTGGACTCGGGCAGGCGAGTTGAGTGAAAGGCGAACTTCCCCCATCCTGATCGATCTTAACTCGTGCTGGCGAGCCGACCGTAAGGCGAACCTAGAATCGAGCATATGTGACGTCTATGCGATTTAGGCCTGTGCCAGAGAACCGAGCGTGCGAGCTCTTCTCGCAGGCGAATTTCCTGTAAGCTTATAGAGGTATTTTTTACCGTCTACAACCATCTCACAATATCATTACTTATATATGTATATATATACACATACATATACGTATATACACACACATACATATACATACGTATACATATGTGTATGTATATACATATATGTATGTGTGTATGTATATATGTGTGTGTACGTACGTACGTATGTATGTATGTATAAGAAGAGGAAGGGAAAGTACATTAGAAATATCTACGTTAAAGATTATAAACCTAAAAAACTCTAAGGCTGTGTTTGGCAAGGGGTTAAATGGAGGGTTAAGGGGGTTTAACCCTCCATTAGTCTGCCGAACACAAAAAAAAAACCCAAGTGATAGTTATCCCTCATGTGACCCATTTACCTCACTTAACCCGTGATTATACGGGATAACAATTCCCCTCTCTTTGGCGGAACAGCGATTGTCCCGATCTCTCAAGCGAGGGCAGCCGACGGAAATAATAATTTATCAGTCGAAAATAGGCAGGGCGTATGCAATCCGCGATTTGGCAGCGAAAATTAGGGAGGCCAGTGATCATTTCCGTTATAAGGTAAGATTCGAATCAAATCTGATCTTCCCCAAAATCGATTCCCTCTACTTCTTTCCCTCCAAATTTTTCCTCTAATTTTTTCCCCCTTCTTCTCCCGAGCTATTAATATGAATTTTAAAAGGAAACAAGAGAGGAAATTGCAGCCGATTGTGATATCAAGTGACGGGAGGCAAAGAAAAGAGAGGTATGTTAATTTCGCAATATCGAATTGGTTTCCAAATTTTTGCCATACAATCGATTATGTTCATATGAATCTAGTTGGTTGATTGATGTTTTTGATCATTTAACAGCTTGCTGAAGGTTGAAATTTAAGGCTTTTAATCTTTATTGTGATGCTACAAGTTCAGAAAATATCATTATGAATCTTTTGCTTAATTGTTTGTATACTAGAAAAAAACTGGTGAAAAAAAGTAAATTTATTGCACCTGAAATTGGAGAGTTTGGTTCAATTACAAGTTTTTCTAGTATTGTTTACATGCAGAATCTGACCTATTCTTCCTTTAAATTGATTTCCTTGGTTCTCCTATTTGCTTGATGGCTTTATGAAATATGTAAGATGGTTAATGGTAGCTTGTGGTTTAATTTGTCTGGAAGATAGAGAATGTTTATGCTAAGTAATGGTTATTTTATAAAGGGTTATATATTTAACCTATAAAGTGGGGTGTGTGATTTGTTAATTTCAATTTATTTGTGAATTCATGTAAAGTGGTGTGTGGGATTTGATAATTTCAAATTTTTTGTGAAAAAAGAAACGTTTCAGTCCAGGTACACCAACTCAGCTTTGTTTTAGACATGATTTTTTAGGGTGTTTAGTTCAGTCTCCACATGACAAATAAGTATGAAGTTTATAGAAGTTTATATATATATCACAATAACAAGGAGGAATGATAACCACTGAGTTCAATACTTAATATGTCCCTATGGTATTCAAATGTGTATACATCACTATTCAACACATATATCAGTGTAAAGTTTATAAGCAAAGATCACATTTGCTGTCAGTTGCTGATTTTTTTGATATAGTCTTCTATGATTTATTGGTTTAAGATACAGTGGAACATTCAGTAACACAGACATCATAATGTACACAAAAAAGCATTGTTCAATGTCGGTTACAGTATCTGTTTGATTACTTATGCATCACTTCCATTAGCACATACATATGTCAGTGACAGTATTTACATAGCAAAATATGATGTCAGTGACAGACATGTGGATGTACACAAAAAAGCAATTAGCACATACATATGTCACTTTTCTTTGCTGTTATGAATTAATTTTGAACACAAACAAGTGACAGTTGCTGAAAAAGTGACATTGAACTCAATGTCATTTGCTGAAAATTTGAAAAATGACAGTCTTACATGTCAATTTATTAACTGGACATTGAACTCATTACACATTTGCAATCAGTTGCTGAAATTTTTTGATATAAACTGGACATTGAACTGGGGTTTGAAATGGTCATTAAACTTTGCATTGAACTCAATTTTTTAACTGGACATTGTTTACATAGCAAAATATAATGTCAGTTACAGTATCTGTTTTATTACTTATGCATCACCTCTATTAGCACATACATATGTCAGTGATAGTATATTTTTTCCATATATTAAGGTAAAGCTAAATTTCTTCCCATATTTTAAGGTAAAGCTAAATTAGTATATTTTTTCTATATATTTTAAAGTGTGTATGTGTGTATGTTTCTGTACATTAAATCTTTATACATTTTTATATTTGTAGAAAGCATTGAGAGCAATTGATGGATCTCATATTCCTGTAATTGTGAAGAAAAAGAAACACAACAGATATCGTAATCGAAAGAATTTCATATCTCAAAATGTAATGGCAGTGTGCTCCTTTGATCATACTTTTCTTTATGTAAGAATTTCATATCTCAAAATGTAATGGCAGTGTGCTCCTTTGATCATACTTTTCTTTATGTGGCTGCTGAATGGGAGGGATCAGCATCTGATATGTCAGTTCTTCATGCAATACTGGAAGATGGTAAATTTAATGTTCCTGAAGGTAAATTTTTACCTTTTTCCATCTTCTTTTTTTTAAATCAATTATATCTAAATTCAGATTATTTTAAATATGTAGGTCATTTTTACTTAGTTGACTCGGGATATGCTAATACTTCAAAATTTATCGCACCATATCGTGGATCACGTTATCATCTTGGAGATTTTGCAAATGGGACCACCAGAGCCTATCGAGATACTAAAGATAAATATAATCATAGGCATGCACAACTACGTAATGCAGTGGAAAAAGCATGGGGAATTTTAAAACAAAGATTCAAATTTTTGAAAGTTGCTGCTCCATTTCCTTATAAAACTCAAGTCAAAATCGTAGTAGCTTGTTGTGTTCTTCATAATTTTATTGCAAGGCATCAGGGAAATGATAAATACTTTAATATGCTCAATGGATTAGAGATGAATGAGGATGAAGATGAGGTGGAGGAGGAAGAAGACCACCAATACATGGTTGGTGCAGACGAAAGTTTAAGGGGTGAGCAACTTCGTAACAGGATTGCTTTACAGCTCTGTAATAATTGAAATATGTAATAGTCGAATATTGAATTATATAGAGGTTGAATTATGTATTTTACTATCTTTATATGAGCAAAACTTGTAATTTTATGCAGAGATATCTAGTAGATTGTTTTTTCTTGAATAATCAAATTTTTTTTGCATGGTTTATTGTTTCACATTGCACAGTTCAGATTATACACCTGAATATCTGTCTTGGATATTGTGACCTAGAGTTCAGATCTCTTTTAGCATTATGAGCATGCTAATATTCTAAATCATGAGGATGAATTCAGCTTAACAGATTGTCTAAAACATTTTCAAGAACATAATCTCCTGGGATTTTTGGGAGGTCAGGGGATTGGTTATCGAAGGTTATGCCATGGAGATCATTTTGGTATTGGCACTGTTGGATTGAACACGGAGTTATATGACTGTCAGATTTTTATTCACTTGTTAGTATTAAGTTTGCAGTTTTCTTGATTCTCTTTCGCCTACAATGCCCAAAAATGGAAGCTGATATACGTCATTGGATAGCGCCAGAAAGGCTTCGGTATGTCATGAGGAAGCCTGAAATACCCAGAGACCAGCATGAAGATTCCCTGCAGCATGGTGATGAAAATTTAGGTTGTTACCCGAGACTTATGTTTTCAAAGGGAAATGTATAAAATTTAAATAGAAAGTATGATCAAATAAGCACATGAGGATGACAATTTCAAGCTATCATATCAGAGGGCTTTTTAGCTGAAATATTACAAGATTTGTTGCTGATCCAATCATATTATTGAAACTGATATTGTTCTCAGGATGCTGAAATTATGTGCACAATTTCAATGAGATTAAGTTTTATTTTCAAATGGAGATGGATATTTTACCTGAATCCCAGCTCCTATGATGATTTCCATGAGGAAATTAGGAACGACACTGGCAATAGCCATCATCAAGCTCTCAACCACCGTGACACTTGCGTACAGGCACAACACAAAGAACAAATAGTGCACGAAGTCCGGATGAGGTAATTATTTAAAAATCTCTAATAAGGGCGAAAGTGGTTTTTTTTAAAATATAATGAGATTAATCTCCTTAACCCATCTTCATTTGCCAAACACAAAAGAGCTAACCCTTTGTCTTAACTATTGTATCCAAACGGGTTTAGAATTTTTTTAACCATTCAGGATGGATTAACTAAGTTAACCCTTCTCGTTAATTCCTCCTCCTTAAACCTTTACCAAACGGGGCCTAAAGGTATAAGTCAAATGATCATTTTCTGTCTTATCTTGTTTCAACCTGTCTTCTGCTTGCACACAGTATAAAATGAGCTCATTTAGAGTCCATTTCTCCTTTTGATACCTATAACGGACCTTGAACTAATTAAGCTGTGTAGGAACAGACAACAGAATCAAATACACCAATAACTCATCACACAGATTGAGTTTAAGTGCCTTAAGTTTTGAAGCAATATGAGATATTTTCATAATGTACTCCCTGATATTTTCTTTGCCCTTATACTTCATTGAAATCAAGTGAGCTAAAAGCATGTTTGTTTCTACCTTATTGTTTTTCACAAAACGTTTCTCAATTTCGGTAAGGAAATCTTTGATCTTAGTAATCTCTTCGGATTCTATGCCCCTGAAGGCTTCCGGAACACCGCGCTTAATGATCATTAGACTCATGCGATTTGAACACTCCTGTTAGACCCTAGAGGGGGTGATTAGGGTCTTATGCTAATCTGATCCGATTATATGCCAATTAAAACTTATTAATAAATATATTCTTGCAAGATAGATATACAACTAAACACACACATATATATATATATATATATATATATATATATATACACACACACACATACATACGTATGTATATACGTACATATATATACGTATTTTGTTCCGGAACACCCTTTGAAGAATTTACTCATTCAGACGGGTTTGTACGTAGTCCTTGATGGAATTTGAAGAATGCAACCTTCTACACAAAGAAAACTTTTATTGATAGAATAGAGAATACAATACTTGTTCTTACAAGAACACCTCACTTTCACACAACTCCTTTATTTTGGTGGACACTCACACAATTCTACACTACACACTCAAGCTCTCAAGCTCACTTCTTGCTTGCTTGCTTGCTTACCCAAATGAGAGCACAAGACCCCTATTTATAGTTGTTTAAGAGGGCTAGGAAGTGTGTAGAAGAGTTAATCCTAGCCATACATTACTAAGAAGTTTCTAGAAGAATAAATACTAGCCATACACTTGTATCTTCCTAGAAACTTCATGGTAGATATTTTGTAGGATGTTACTAGAAAGAAGTTCTAGAAAGTTGTTCTAGAATAATCTAAGTTGGTGAGGAATTCTAATACTCCCTCTCATCACCAACTTTCATTTCTCACAAGTCCAAGCTTCTTCTTAAGCTTCAAAAATGTCTCTGTCTTTAGTGGCTTGGTGAAGATGTCAGCGATTTGATCTTCAAATTTGCAATATGCCAGCATCACAATCTTCTTTTTAACTTGATGTCGGATGAAATGATATCTTGTCTCTATGTGTTTGCTTTGTCCGTGTGCTACCGGATTTTTGGCAAGTGCAATAGCTGACTTGTTATCGATGAGGATCTCTGTCGGTGTTTCCTGTTGGTGTTGCAGCTCCTCCATCAGACTCCTGAGCCATATTGCTTGACACGCACATGCTGAAGCTGCTATGTATTCTGCTTCGCAACTTGATAGAGCGACGACAGACTGCTTCTTTGATGACCATGAGAATGCTGATGATCCGATATTGAACATGTAGCCAGATGTGCTCTTTCTTTCATCTAAATCTCCACCATAATCGCTGTCGGTGTAGCCGACTAATCTCGAATCTATACATTGTGTATAAAATAATCCTTGATCAATACTTCCTCGGACATACCTGAGAATTCTCTTGGCTACCTTGAAATGCTCCTGTCTTGGCTCCTCCATATATCTGCTCACCAGTCCTACCGCGAACACTATGTCGGGCCTGGTGATGGTTAGGTAGCGCAAGCTCCCGACTAAACTCTTGTATAGAGTTGGATCAATATAGCTTCCTGGTGTGTCTCGCCTCAGCTTCACTCCGACTTCTACAGGAGTTGTGACTGGATTGCAGTTACTCATGTTGAACATCTGAAGGATCTCCTTTGCATACTTCTTCTGAGAGATGAAGATTCCTTTCTTTGATTGCGACACTTCTACTCCAAGAAAGTATGACATTTCTCCAATGTCAGTCATCTCGAACTCCTTAATCATGTTCTTCTTGAACTTCTTGAACATTTTTGGATTGTTGCTGGTGAAGATCATGTCATCCACGTAGAGACATACGATCATAATGTCTCCATCCTTCTTCTTGGTATAGAGAGAGTGCTCATACGGACTCTGTTGGAATCCGTTCTTCTGGAAGTATGCATCGATTCTGGCATTCCATGCTCTGGGTGCTTGCTTCAGTCCATACAATGCCTTCTTCAGCTTGTTGACCTTGTCTTTTTGATTCTTCATCACGTACCCAGGTGGTTGTTCGATGTAGAATTCTTCTTCTAGATAGCCATTAAGAAAGGCTAACTTCACATCCATCTGATAGATCTTCCACTGGTTATGTGCTGCTAATGCGATAATGAGTCGAATGGTGTCGATCCTCGCGACTGGTGCGAATACTTCTTCATAGTCAACTCCTTCTCGCTGACTATAGCCTTTTGCAACAAGCCTGGCCTTGTACTTCTCGATTCCTCCATCTTGATTTGTCTTTGTCTTGTACACCCACTTTACTCTAATTGGTTTATGACCTTCAGGTAAGGTAGTGAGCTCTCATGTGTCATTTCTCTTGATTGACTCGATCTCGTCATCCATGGCTTTTCTCCACTTGTCTTCTTGAGCAGCTTCTTCATAGCTGACCGGATCACATTCTGCAAACACGCAGAATAGTGTGTAGTCATCCATCATCTCGACAGGCTCTGCATCGTCATACAGATCTCTTAGGCTTCTCATCCTCCTTGTTGCTCCCCCTGAAGAGCTTCCTTCACTTGAGCTGGATGATGTCGGCGTTGATGTTGGGGTTGATGGAGCTGGACTATTAGGTGGACTTTGTTCTGGTCTTCCAACCTCCTGCAAGTCATCATCATTATCTTCAAAGAACATACCTTTAATATTTTTATCTTCATCGGTCCATTTCCAATAATCTTCTTCATCGAACTCCACGTCTCTTGAAATGATCATCTTCTTTGTAACTGGATTGTAGAGCTTGTATGCTTTTGTCCTCCTCTCGTACCCAACGAATATGCACTTTTCTCCTCGATCGTCCAACTTCTTTCTTTTCTGCTCCGGGATGTGTGCATATGCAATACACCCAAACACCTTCAGGTGGTTGACACTTGGCTTGATGTTGCTCCACATCTCCAATGGTGTCTTGAACTTGACACTCTTTGTCGGACATCGGTTGAGGAGGTAAACTGCACAATCCACGGCTTCAGCCCAGTAAGTCTTCGGCAAATACTTACTCTTCAACATGCTTCTGACCATATCAAGAATGGTACGATTCTTTCGCTCTGCTATGCCATTTTGCTGTAGTGTGTAGGCGGCAGTGAGTTGATGAATTATCCCGTACTGCTTGTTGAAATTGTTGAATGCCTTCGAAGTGTATTCTCCGCCTCGATCTGATCGGAGCACTTTGATGTGGTACCCACTTTGCTTTTCTACCATCTCCTTGAATTCTTTGAATTTCTCCAGAGCTTCGGATTTCTCCTTCAGGAAATAAACCCAAGTTTTTCTGCTATAATCATCAATAAATGTGAGAAAATACCTGTTTCCTCCAAGAGAGATGACTTCAAATGGTCCTGCAATATCTGTGTGGACCAATTGTAGCAGCTCTGTTGCTCTTCTTGACTTTCCAACTTCGAAACTTCTTCTATGTTGTTTGTCCTTCATACAGCCTTCACATAGCTGGTTCGGATGGTTGATTTGCGGCAATCCTTTTACCATTTTCTCCTTCCATAGAAGATTCATGCCACTGAAAGCGAGA